TTTTATTCACAACTTATTTTCCACCGGTAAGAAATATGCAGAGACAAGACCGTTTGTCTTCTAGAAGAGAGTTTTCATGTTGTTTGCTACCTTTTTTTTGGTTTTGTTTTTTTTTTTTTTTTTTTTTTACTGCTGCCATTGATCTTTGTGTCAACAGAGGCTGGTTTTAGTTAACCTGCAGCAGGTATTGTGATAGTTCAAGGAAAGCAAAATTAAGCTGGACAATATAATCGGGTATGAAGGGAACTGAAAGATAAGGCATGAGTAAGTGGGAAGAATAAGAAAGGGGTGACTTGCACCTAGAAATTAGAAGATGCTTTAAATTCACTGTGATATTTTCATACTGACTTCTGGCAACTGAATTGTATTACACAATCTTCCTCTTTCTGAAGGAATGTTTTTTACATAGTGCTTTTGCTGTTGCTGTTTATGGTTTAACATCAGTTGATGAATAAGTGTTCTCTGTCACTTTTGAAAGGCTTAAGGGATGCTTTCTTACTTCAGTCTTTGTTGCATTGTGCTAAACATAATGTCCCTGGGATCATGACATTTGGTAGTATCATACACAGTTTTTCTGAAACACTCTTCAGAAGGTAGATTAACTTTTTATTAGTTTTTGTTTTAAATCTGTTAACTATCTGTGTCTTCATTTTAGAGGATGGGCAGCTTTTCGTGTGGGGTGATAATTCAGAAGGTCAGATTGGCTTGGCCAATGAATCCTGTGTCAGTGTCCCTTGTCGAGTGGATGTTGGAAAACCTGTTTCCTCTGTATCCTGTGGATATTATCACTCTGCCTTGATAACAGGTAAGGGAATGGGAATAGAGGTTGGTGGAGACAGGACAGTAGTTTTCAAATTGTTGCCTGTGTAAAGTCATTTGTTGCTTTTAAAATTAGTTGTTAAAAACTGCCGTGTGACAGAAAGTCATCGATGTAGTTTTATATCACATTGGGGGAAAAACTTGCAGTTAATTTTCTACATTGTTGTGCAAATGTACATTAGAAAGAATGAGTATCTACATTAGAAAGAATGAGTATCTTATCACACTTTATTTTCATGAAGGTTGTGACATATATTGTGGGTTAATACTATTGTTTCAAATATCTAACTTTTCTTGAGATTATTAATTTCTTTGTGATGATCAAATAATAGTCTCCCTCTTCTTTAGAAATATAAATATTGAACAGAGTTACTATGTTATGAGGAAAAATGAATCTCATGTGCTAGCAGTGCAAGGTTGTTGTCAAAGTTTGATGTTATGTCTTAAATTTTGAGTTTTGGAGTCAGTTAAACAGGCAATATATGGTATGAGGAGAAGCACATGCTACAGTGAGCTGTTGTCTGATCTCCAAACCAACCTACCTCTCTTTTGCTTTCCAATTCTCTTCTCCCAACTCTCTGTTTGTTTCCAGAGTGAAGATTTCACTCTTTTTTAAATAATGCCAGCATGGGTGAATTTATCAGCCAGTATTGATGCTGTTATGTATGAGCAGCCATGAAGTCCTCTCAGCCATATAGATTTACATTATTAAACTTTACAGTTTGGTCCCCTCAGAGTAATTAAAGATTTCAAAGGATCAATAGTTTTGATTGTAAAGCTTTTAATGGGTACCCAGGAGCTATTCCATCAGATACCTTTCTCAGGTTACTTGATAAATGTTACTTTTCCACATACAATATAATATTGGTCTCTGAGAACATGCTGTTAACAGAATGAGAGCTTGCTATGGTGGACAAATATTAATTAGGTGTTTTGCTGGTAGTGTGCAACTTTTATTACAGATCCTTTATTACAGTAAATGAATTAAGTGCCTAGGACTGATGAGGAGCTCAGCACCTATTAGGAAATCTACAGCTTCTGAAACTCAGAATACATGGGGAAAAAAAGATGCTTACTTGAAGGATGTGGTAAGAAGGTGTGTATCTCTGCCTTAGAGCCAAGAGCTGAAGCTCTGAAACTGCAGTGGGATGTCACAAAAGCTCTCTTTAGTGGCAGGGTTGAGGACAAGCATCTAAGAGTAAAGAGAGAACAGTGTGTGCTGCCAAGTACTCTAAGGAAGTGGAAACTTTTTAATGAAAGAGGATGAGAAAAAAGGCCTAGGGTTTCAGCTGGTTAAGAAAAATTGAGCCTCTCAAAATATTAATAGGAAGATGAACTGATTATCACCTGTGAAAATGAGCAGTTGTTGAACCTGTTACTACTTAAACAGGCCTGAATATGAGATGGAAAATCTTAATTTTGATCCTTAATATCTGCAAATCCTACATGATTTGGGCTTCCGTCTATCTCGCTGAAACTATTGACACACACATGACCTTTTTGTGCTGAAAGTATAAATTTTTTTTATTACTTTCCTTTAGGCCCTTGCAGACAGTTTTATTTGACCGATACTTCAGCTACCATAAAAATTTAGTATTGGACATCCAAGTACTTTTGCCGGTTCGATCTTCTGTTGCAGTAGTGTCAGTGTGTATCCAGTGTTTAACAAACTTTGTGCATTTAATCTGAGTGTACCGTAGTCACACAGTGTGTTCCTTCTCAGTTACTCCATACCATACAATTAGTATGGTTTGACTTTTAAACATCAAATAATATATTATGTTTAATAACATAACATAGTTGCAGGATGTAAGACCTAATAGATGCTGTCAGGCTGAACTGATGAGCGTGGCACCACATGGTTCCCTTTCTTAATATGTTTATGTTAGACATAAGGTGTACACTAGCTAAGTAATAACTGTTAGGATCACAAGTGTATCTGAGCTAAAACTAAAAAGTGGTTAATGTGGATACTGGAATACATAGTGTGGACACAGAGTGCCCTCTCCAGGGCAGGATGTTCATTAATAAGAGACTATTGAGTAAAAAAAAATGGTAAAGTACTGATTCCAGATTTTTTTTTTTAATAAACTAAAATAGTTATTTCTTTCAAACAGGTGGTTTTAAAAAGATTTTTTAGTAGGGTTTTGTCTTTAGGGCGTTTAACTGCTGTTAAGTGCAGTGCAATGTCACTTATTTAGTAGTTCCCAAAAGGTTTATCACCTTTCTCACTTCTGCTTCCTAGAAGGCCTTTCTTTTCAGACAGTAATTCAGCTACTGTATATGTCAGCCACCTGGATTCTACCATGTACACGTGGACCCCACTGGTGCCAAAGTAGTTGTAGAATAGAAGAACAGAATATATTCTGAGTATTTTTAATAAAAAAGCACTTCTGAAATTTAGAATTTTATACTCATTTCCATATGCAAATTATGAAAGAGTTCATGTTTGAAAGACGATTGTTCGCTTTCTTTCCCTCTTCTTTGCCTTCTTTAGAGACTTCCACTGAAAACAAGTTTTTAGTGCTTCCAGCCCTCTTCAGGACTTCTTCACAGTATGTTTCCTTTCTCTTTGCAGACTTAGGATGCTGGGTCCCAGTATTTGAGATATGTCTCAAACAAAGCAACATAGAAACAAAGAGCTGGAAGAGGGTAGCAACTATTTTGAGCCCTTACACAGATCCTTACTTGACGTGCCTTTGCCCATACTCACTCAGGAGGGGACAGTTTTTCAGGAAGCATTAAGCTTGGCAAACACGTGGAGCTCATTTGTCCACTGGAGGAGATGGAGAGCAGGAAAAGCCAATGTATCTAAACCACTGCTCTGGTGTCTACAGCAGAATTAGATTTGTGGAGCCAGAAAGGAGCTGAATATATTCTTATATCTTCTAGTGTTTCCCCTGCCTGAATTCTTACCGTAATCAAGGTCAAGATAAATTCTCTTTGGAAATATGTCTTTTCATAGGGACCTTTGCAGTTGCCATGAATTCCTTTCTTAATATATTTTGTCATTATTTCTAAGGACTGGTTTTAAAGAGCATTCATCCCACAAACACTTCTGTGCTCTGAATTTCAGTGTCTGAGATGGTTTTAACGAGTTTGGTTTTGAAAAAAATATTTCTTTTCTTTTTCTTCCTCATTTATTCAAGGAATCATAGAGTGATCCAACTCTTTTGTCCACTGTTCTCATTTGCCACCAGCCAGGTCTCCTATCTGCTCTCATCTGCAGGATGCACATTCGCCTTTGGGAGACATTTTCCATTTGCTTGCCCATTTCCTTGACATGCTCCTGGGACCTAAAGTTTAGTGATACAGAAAATGTGCCACATAATGGAAAGTTCAACACCTGAGAATGTGACTCATATGAGAGAAGAAAATCAAATAACCAGGTTCTGTTGTGAACATAATGTCCTTAAAATGCAGGTGTACTGCACACAGTACATCATGTCCTTAGCATGCAGGTTTACTGCACACATGCTGCACTCAAAATTTGTCTGGGTTTGACTGGATTCTTTTTATTCTTGATTGCTATTCTTCATAGCTTTTAGACCACTATTTGCCTTAAAGGGATGCATAATGTATTCAAAAATTGCTTTAGTAAATGGTTTTATCTTTGTTAGCTGGATTATTAAGTTGAAAAAATGTAATAAACTTGATTAGTTTGGGAAGTCAATGGAAGCTTGGCCATTTGAATCTCTAATCCTATTAATTAGATTGTGATTGGATTAATTTTTTCAGTGCAGTAGTGTTTAAAAAGAACTGCTGGTCTCTTCAAAGAGAACTGCATAAGTAGTTATCTCCCAAGCGCTTTTGGGGGTTTATCAACTCATTTCTAAAAATATAAGGCTGATCTAAGAGTATTAAAACAATATTCGCCTTCCAAAAAATACAGGTTCTTTTTGTTGTTGGTTTTTTTCCATTGTTTTCACTTAGAATCCCTAATAAAATCTCCTTGTCAGCAGAATGCTTTGGTTACAGAAAACCACACATTGCAGTTGGTTTTTTCTCTTTTTAATTGGGCTGCTGTTTTAGAACAGAAAATTGATGCTGCTGCAAATAAATGCAAAGTGTCAGCTTGTTCAGAGTATTTCTGCACATAGATATAAGAAAAAAGATCAGAATTAAAACAGGAAATCAAACTGAACAGAAAAGCTTAAACACAGTTCATTCTGATTCTTAAAAAACACAGACAGATTGAAATGACTGCAAAACAACTCCTAGAGAAAAACTGTAGAAGAATGTAAGAAAGCCTCAGGAAGAGACAACTGAGAGGGGACCTCATCAATGTCTATAAATAGCTAAAGGGGGGGTGTCAGAGGATGGACCAGGCTCTGCTCAGTGGTGCCCAGCAACAGGACAAGAGATAATGGGCAGAAACTGATGCCCAGGAAGTTCCACCTGAACATGAGGAAGAACTTCTTTGCTATGCAGTGACCGAGCACTGGAACAGGTTGCCCAGAGAGGATGTGGAGTTTCCCTCACTGGAGATATTTCAGAGCCATCTGCTCACAATCCTGTGCCATGTGCTCTGGGATGACCCTGCTTGAGCAGGGAGGTTGGAGCAGATGACCCACTGTGGTCCCTCCCAACCTTACCCATTCTATGGTTCTGTGATTCTGTGAAAGGTACTTCTCCACAGACACATGCAGGTAACCCAAGTGTTAGAATATTATTGGGCTAGTTTGTGTGTGCAGGAAAGAAAATGTCAGAATGATAGAAAAAAGTAAGGACTACTGGGAGGATGAAGTTAACACCTCTGATCATGAGAGTTAGGAAATACAGCTGCTATCCTGTTTCATTGCCTTGCTGAAGAGAATGGATCTCTGTGAATAGATTGTGGCTGACCATTCAATAGCCTGAGTCCCATCAAACCTTGTAGAAAGCTTGACATTGAGTAAGATCACATTAATCTCATTCCTTGAGTGCCTCCCTATGCAGTTAGAACATTCAGTAAAGGTACCAAGTCCAGTTGCCAGCCTTAGTGGCCCAGAACCACGGTACTTGAAGAATGTTTTCTGTTGTGAGAGACAGAAGTGATCTTGGGAAATAGAGAAACCATATAAAACACTGTCCTAGTTTAACTCCAGCAACTAGGCACCACACATGCTCTCACTCACTGCCCCCCACCAGCAGGATCAGGCAGAGAATCAGAAGAGTTAAAGTGAAAAAAACACTTGTGGGTTGAGATAAAGACAGTTTAACAGGTAAAACAATAGCGGTGTGTGCCAGCAAAGCAAAACAAGGAGTTCATTCACTTCTTCCCATGGGCAGGCAGGTGTTCAGCCATCTCCGGGACAGCAGGGCTCCATCACAGGTAACAGTGACTTGGGAAGACAAACACCATCATCCCATACGTCCAGATTAGAAACAAGTTATTGAAACTTAATTCTGGTGGAGTTATTGCTATGGAACCACTGCCGTATTTCTGTGGTTGGATATACAGTTCTTACTGTCCAAACCATACACAGTTTTGTGTCATTTACTGTGATTTCTTTATATCTTACAAGAAGAAAGCATGGATTTTCCATCAAAATTCCATGCAAAATTATTTTTTGTTTCCATTCAAAATTATTTTCTGTTGTAATTCAGATTCTTACAAGCAACTTCAGTTGACATAAATACTGGTTACAGAGGGAATTGTAACCTCTCAGAAGCAGGATGTATATGGTTTTGGTTTTCTCTTGGCTACATTTCTTGCAGGCTCAATATTGTGATTCTGATCTTGGAGGGAGCTAAAACCTAGCACCTTCATGTCCCATCAAAGCAGAGTGCTTTGCCCATCTGTTTGGGCATTATACAAGTATTTTCAACTATCCTGTAATGACTTTTCTGACAGTGATTTGTGTCTGCAGCAGTCTTGACAACTCATCCTTGCTTCTGAGTGTATGCTGGAAACCATACCATGTTCCATATTTTCACAGGAGATGGTGAGCTCTATACTTTTGGAGAACCTGCAAATGGTAAACTGGGATTATTGCCTGAACAGCTGAAGAACAATAGAGTCCCACAGCCTGTACTGGGAATTATGGAAAAAGTTAATAAGGTTGCTTGTGGTGGAGAGCACACAGTGGTGCTGACAGGTATGTAATTTAACTGGCTTTTTTTCATCCCTATAACTTAGTCTTAAATTTAATTTACTTTAAAAAATTTGCTTCCCACTGAAATTAGATGTAAATGGGATCCTGGTTGATACCACTGGTGACACCACTTGTGTGCCCTTGCCTTTATCAAGCAAGTTGCCATGTAAATGTCCTTTTTATGACAGCATAAATTATGTATAGAGTTGTTTTACTTATAAGAAAATCCTATAAGAGCTCAAATGACCAAAAGGAGTAACTTTCCAGGGATGAGATTTGCACAGCATGCTGTGCAAACCTGTTCAGTTCCACACAGCTTGGGATTCCCAGCATCTGAAGGGATAGAAGGTTATTGATACTATCTTGGTTTTTTTTGTTTGGTTGGTTGTTTTTTTTGGTTTTTTTTGTTTGTTTGTTTGTTTTTTGTTTGGTTGTTTGGTTGGTTTTTTGGGGGTTTTTTGTTTTTTGGTTTTTTTTTAATAGTCTTAGCTCCAATAAATAGCATTTTAAGTGAACTTTACCTAATCTGAGAGCCTTTCTTACTGGAATTGTAATAAGCCAGCACCTCCTAGTGCAACACAGATGATTAATGCTTTTTTCCTCTAAGTAACTTGAAAGTGGTATTGCAGTGAGGGGGGAAATTTTGGATGAAAGGTTCCATTCTGTAGTAAATTGAAATTACCTTGAAATTTAGTAAAGTATTTAGGAAGTCACTTTTCAAGTAGCTTCACTAAGTACTGGATGCCTAAGTGAATTAAATATCTCTTGTTGTGATACGGATTTTTCCTGTGCCTTTCAGAAGAATCTTTAGCACACATATAAAACTAGTATAGATACAGACATTTGACATATTGCACAAGTTATGAAAATCAGCAAATACAACTGTTACATAATAGTTCACAGGGCCACATATATAGTACTTGGAAGATGGTGTATGTTACTGAACTGTTAAATAGTTGTCTGCCAGCAGTGACTCAGCTTTTCCAAGAGATATGTGCAAAGCATTGCTGGCTCTTTATTTTCACAAGTTCTATCCTGAACTGTAGTGGAAGAGAAGCAGGAAAGGTAAGTTTTACTTTGCCCACAGATGGTTTGAAAAATATCAGCTTTGGCTTGTAATGAATATAATATCTGTAAGGCTGTATAGCCTGTAATTGTTCTCCTACCAAAATACAAAAGCTATAAAAACTAGTTGGATGTATAGTTATCAGTCCCTAAATCTGCATTCTGAAAAGTCTACATATTCTCCTGTCAATCTTGTGACACACCTTTAAGATTATGTAACTAAAATTTCTAAAATATAAACTGAAAATCTAACTGAGGGAGATTGCAAGTAATATAATGTGGTATTGTACTGTAAGCCATTGGAGAGAGTAAGGGTGGAAGTGAAATGCTGGGAAAGGCTGTGTGTAATGATTCAAGCTGAAGATTCTGAGTAGGATAAAATTCCTTTGGGAAAACCATGAAGAGGAAATAGCAGTCGCCAATCCAGGAAATAATGCAAATAGATGTCTACATTTCAATGACTTTGTCTCTCATCTTTCACCAACATGCAGTCTTACCCTGGCAGTATTCTGTGTCATAAAATAAATTTCTTTACATAAAATCAGATTATCATTATTAGCAAAAGAATTACCATAAATTGGAGACCAACAAATATGTAAATCATAGCACTATTTTATGTGTTATAAAGTGAAGTTCTGCAAAAAGAATTTGATTATCATTACTGATTGTTTTTTAACCATAAATCTGAGTTCAAACAATAGATATTTCATTCTAATGATATTTCATGTGATAAAAATTCATCATAACAAACAACTGTTACAGAGATTTAGTAGAAAGTTGAAGACCTGGATGCCATCATCATTACAGTGAAATCTGTACCAGAGCTAGAACAAAGAGGCAAAATATAAATGCCAAAAAAACAAAAGCATTAGAAGAACATACCACAGTAAGGTATTTTCATATTAATACATAATAATGTAAGTCAGTGTTTTAGTATGTAAGGTTTAGTTGCTTATGGAAATAGATTTTGTTGTAGAAGGCAAATAAGAAATTCAGTGCTTAGCCGTCAGTTGATGATCAAAGTGTTGAGTGCCAGAAGATCTAGTTGAGTCACCGAAAGAGGAAAACTGTAACCTCCAGCAAAATACATTTCCTAAAGATTAATAGTAGTTGTGATAAGAGTGAAAAGTCAGATAGTTGGTTTTTTAATGTGATTCAGCTGTTATTAAATAGGTTACAGCTGTGAACTTCTGCCTAAGACACTGAGTGAAAGAGTAGAGGATAGTGGAAATACTGTCTCGAGTGAAAAATACTTCATCAGCAGTGTTAACATACAGAAATTTTTCTGTCTCAAAGCAAAATTTGGGAAAAAAATGTGAAAAAGGATAGGTATTGACAATAATAATTTTGAAAGTGAGTGTGACATACATAGATTATAGTTTTAGCACCAGAAACTTAACTTGAAATCACTCCTGAATTGAATCACTTGAATCACTCCTTGAGATAAAGTGGTGTGACTACAAATTGAGAATTCTGATGATATATCTTTAAAGAGGAGCAGAAGCACTTATACCTGTTTTAAGCTCATTTTCATAGTTAAGAAATCAGTACAATTTTGAAGAAATTCTTAACTTTATGTGTCATCTGCCATGAAAATAGGTGCTGCTTGGTTTTAGGAATACAACATAACACAATACTGATGTGGTTCTCATCTTTTCAGGGTCTTTCCAGTTTTTAAGGATGTGGCATTTCACTCTAAAAAAATAAGAAGTGAGTGTCTAATTTTTGAATATTCCTCAGCTTCCTCTATCTCATTTAACATTGCAAAAGGATGGGAGGAAGTGTCACGTGGAGATGCTGTTGCACGTCTTGGTTCATTTCTTGCCATCATTTCTACTTAGGGTTTATCAAATTAGAAGAAATCATAATCCAGTTATCTTACAGACTACAAGGCAAGTTTCTTCCTGACTCTTATGTGTAATTAGTCTATTCCAAAGCACTTCATTTGATTTCTTTTTTATGACTTATCTACACTATTGGCAATTTTGTATGGTAAGAACCACTGTTATCTGGGTTATTAAATGAATCTACTGTTTGGAATCTCTCCAACAAGAATCAGAGTAAGTGGTAGAAAGTACATATTAAAATAATTCCTTTTTTTTTCCCTCTGAAATTCCAAAATAGGAACCTCAATTATTTTTCCCAGACAGCAAGAATTAAATTGTTGAGAGCAATTATTTGGAAAAAAACCCAACTTTTTAAAGATAAATTTCAGAAATATTGAATATGGCATTGAAAGCTATCTTCTTTACAAGCCTTAGTGTTCCTTCTGCCTTTAATATTTGCAGTTGTTCTAGAGAAGCAACAGAACTGCAGTTAAAAATTCTAACATGCAAAAGCTTTCTCTCCCTGAGGCAGCACAAACCTATGCATTTCATGGCAGTCAGTCAGCCAGTCCAAGAAGATCATATCCTCATCCCACAGGGGTTCTCTCAGAGACTGAAATAAATGCACCCACTACCCCAATGCTTGCAGCTGCTTCCTGCTGAAAATGAAAGCTGTTGCTGTCATCACTCTCAAAAGAAATGTGAGAGAGCAGCAATCACAATTTGTGTACTTTTTCAGTAAAATGTTTTAACAGGATAATAATAAATGTGAACCTAGACATTGGAGAAGAAGAAACAGATGATTTGGAGTGGCCTTAATATCTTCCAGTTTTTTTCGGATGGCGACAGATCCTCTGGGAATAATCTTGTCTATAGAAGGATATATTACCTCCTTTCATTCTCTGAAAGGAGGGAAAGCAAAGATAGTTCTTCAAAGGAAAAAGTGAAGTAGTCCTTTGAGAATAGAATGTTTGACACAACAATACAGCACATTAGTGCATTAGTATGTAAAATGTTGGATTTTTCATCTTCTGTCTCAAGGTCTTTTAGAAAGAAAGCCGTGACACCCATTTGAAAGAGGATAAAAAGGATGAAAAAGCTCTACCTTTTCCTGAAAGAACCCACTGTTCAAACCACATAGGATTATCTAGATTTTTCAGACCATTCTTAAGTCTGTATATTATTTATACTGAAATCCCCAAATCTAATTACTAGCTCTGGTAACACTGAGTATTGTGTTGATAGATGATTTTTTGCAGTAACGTTTTTCATTATAAGGTGTTTAAAAATAAAGCTACTGTAAGAGTGAATAGCCCATTGACATAATAGTTATAGTAGTGATAATAATAATAATGTTTGGAAATTAATCTGTGTGGAGAGGCCATCAAGATGATCAGAGGAATGGATCACCTCTCCTGTGAGGCAAGGCTGAGAGAAGTGGGGTTGTTCAGCCTGGAAAAGAGAAGGCTTTGTGATGATCTAATTGCAGCCTTCCAGTGCCTGAATGGAGCCCACAGGAACGATAGAGAGGGACTATTTATAAGAGCATGTAGTGACAGGACAAGGGGGAATGGCTTCAAACTGAAAGAGAGTACATTTATATTAGTTCTGAGGAAGAAATTCTTCACTATAAGGGTGGTGAGGCACTGGAACAAGTTGCCCAGAGAAATTGTGGATGCCCCATCCCTGGAAGTGTTCAAGGCCAGGCTGGATGGGGCTTGGGACAACCTAGTCTGGTGGAAAGTATCCCTGCCTCTGGCAGGGAGGGTTAAAACTAGGTGATATTTAAGGTCCCTTCCAACCCAGGCCATTCTGTGATTCCATGATTCCGTGATTCTATGATATAAGCGTACCTCTCTGCTCTGTTTTAGTTCTGTGGGTTTTCAAACATTGTCTATAGCCTTAAATACATAGCAGGGAATACATAATTCTTAAAAACACTCTAAGAGCTCACACAGTTCTTTAAGCAAATGGCATGTTTAAAAAAAAATTATGAAAGCTATATAGATTTTTGCCTAGGACTATTTTATTGATAGTGCCAATGATCACAGAGATTACAAAATATGCCTGCAAACTTGGAAGTTAAGCAAATAGACAGCAGTTCCTTCCTCAAGGCAGAGACAGGACTCGTGCTGTCTTCCTGCTGCTGGGTGGTGTTTCTGTGTCTGAGCCTTCCTTGTGATTCCGAGATGCCCTGGAGGCATCTCTCATTCTCCTGTGGACATATGTCCATCCTCTTCCCTTATACCACTCTGGTGCTGCCTTGACTGTTCCACAGGAAACTGTATCAGCAAAAACCCCCCAAAACCTGACACGCTGAGCTGGGCATGGTCACCACATAACCAGGTGTGCAGCACAGTGCAGGAGGGGACTGAAGAGAGAAAATGAAGGGGGAATGAAATCTGCCCTTTCGCTCTATTACATTTTGTTACTGGGACTGAGGACTGTAAAGAGAAGTTAATACGAATCCCTTTGGGATTCATGCTGTAGGCAAATTTATTTACAAATCCAAATTCAGAATGGTGAAATTCAACACTGTCATTTTATCACTAAGTGTGTGAGGTTGCTTTGCCATACACTTCTCTTTCCACATATTTTTAAGGACAGTTTGGAGGAAATACCTCATTTCTGCTAAATGAGGTTATTACTGATGTTTGGCCTCACTGCTGTGCCAGAGCAGTGAATTGCTTAAGAAAGGTGCAAGGTTTTTCTCTTCCTGTGCCCTGTTAATTGACTAAGAAGCAAGTTTAGGAGGAGCAACGTTTGGATGCCTCTGATCTGTAAGAGCAGCAGAAGAAATTGTTCTTATAAAAGCGCTCCAACCTGGCTTGGAATCACCCCTTTCTCCTCATTATCAGAGAAAGAGAGAAAAGAAAATATTTCCTGCACTTTCACATTTGAGAATCTCTTCCACTAGACACAAATGCAGAAGACATTGCATGTTTCATGCTAGAATTAAAGATATTGCGAAAAAACCCCTTTAACTTCACTGAAAGTAACTATGTTAATCAGATAAAGCCATATAATTTGGAAATTACAAGACCTGCCAGTTTCCAAAGAAAAGTTAAGACAAATGCAATACTTCTAAGCAGAATTTATGGAATCAGCCATCCTGAGAAAATAATTTGCTGAAATGAAGATGAGACTTTGGTTTGCTTAGAAAAAGCTCCTGTCTTTTAGGAGTAGTTTTTTGATTCTGGTGCAGAAAGTCTAAATGTTTCAGGAAATTTCTTGTTTTACTTTCTAAAGCTCCTGAGAAGGTGTTGCTTTCTTGCACTAGCATCTCCAGCAGAGGGAGCTTTATCATTACATTTAGTTAAAAAAAAAAAAAAAGAAAGAAAAAAAAAGAGGTTTACTCAATATCTTTCATCTACAGTCTGGAAAAAAAGTGAAATCGTTGGGGTTTTTTTACAGTGGGAATTCATGACATCTTAATATGGCAAAGTTTTAAAGGAATAGAAAGGGCAAAGCCTTTCCTAGAAAGAACATTTCCATATGTAGTGTTACACTATTTCATCAAGGTTCTTTTAAAATCGGAAAGTTTAGTATAAGGGTACTATGGTAGTGATTTGTAACCTGGTCTGTTCTCTGCTTTCTCTTTCCCTGACAGCAGTGAAAGATTAGTTTAAGGGAATGGTAACATGATTAGTTTTTCGTATTTCTCCAGTTTGTGGCTGCTGTGAGAATTGGATTGCACAGTGTAAGTTACTTTTGTGGCACTTGAAGTTATTTTGCTGTTCCAGTGGCCACAAAGAAGTGCTCAGAAAGCAAAGATCCTCTGTTGATTGGTGTTCCACACATTCCTCTCTTGCCTTTGAAAATGGTGGCATTTTTAATTTGATGGCATCTCTACAGCCAAACTGGGCATGTTCTGCACCAAATGCAGAACAATGACGTAACAATATCTTTTGCTCCCAAGTTCTTTTTACTTAACATAGAATATTTGTTGTCCTTCCCAGTCTTTCCCAGGTTTTCTTAATAATTTTTCAAGTACTTTAAATAATAGTTCTCTAGCTTTTCCTTTGTTGCCTACATGCAAAAGGAGCAGGGAATAAAATTCCAGGAAAAACTCCCGTTTTTCAAAAAAACCTTCTCTTTTCAAGTATGACCTCATCAAGATTTCCAAGCTTCACAGTCTTCCCCTGTTGTGATGGAGTGCCAAGGATGGACACACCAAGAATCTTTATTGCTTTGGAGAAGCTTTTATTCTTTTTCCTGGCACAGACAGACCATTAAACAGACAAAATATAAATGTGGAAAGATGATTATTCTGTCACAAGATAACACAATTATAGTCTTCCCTGTGTTTAGTGCAGGGCTGATTTGGTAGCTGAACAGAATACTAGAACCTCTTCTGTTCCAGTCTCTTCTTACATACAAATTAGTATTGGTTTAAAGAGGTCTTGTCTATGAAATTTAGGATCATACAAGGTAAATGAAGGTAAAGAGAAATTAAGATGAGACTATTGCACTTGAAAATGCATGAATATGTAAATATTGTGGTCTTGAATTGATTGCAGTATGTAAATTTCATTATTTTTTTTTTAACTGGTACCTCATGTACCTGTGATCAGTGGGTTATTTTGCAGTTATGTTAGAAAACATATTGCATATTGAACCATTCAAAATTTTGTCTAAATATTTCCTGGTTTTCTTTATTTTGTTATATGTTGTTATTAATTGCTAAATGTAATTGATTAGGGCTAGTGCATTTTTTTAATTGATTAAACATTGCTCTTTTGATGCTGATGTCAGTTGCCTTCCATTTGGCTGATAGAAAGCCATTTACTATATAAATATATACATATATATTAGCATGGGTTTTTATTAACTTTGCCTGTACAATTTCAGAGACAGATGTCTATACTTTTGGACTTGGACAATATGGGCAGCTGGGCCATGGTACTTTTGTTTTTGAATCTTCAGTGCCGAAGTCTGTGAAACACTTGAAGAAGCATAAAATACGTAACGTTGCATGTGGGGAAAATCACACTGCTGTAATAGCAGGTACGTCAGTGCAGAAATCTGAAATGAACTTCCAGCAACTCGCTATTGTACTGGAAAAGCTTCTGTTACAAAATGAGCAACGGCAGAAGACACATGCAAATGTACTGGTTCTGAGCCAGTGAGGAAGCCAGATTTGATAGGAATTCCTGATTCATATCCGTGCCATGCATGACTCTGTGCCCTGTATCTCCTGGGGAATTATAGCCTTATAAGCATGCCTTGCTTTAACAAATATTCTTGTTTAGAAACCTTTGTTTTTCTATACAGTTTAAATCTTATTATTTTGTTAGAGTGGTTTTGGGTTTTTTTTTTACAGATTGTCTAGACTAACTTGCATCTCAAACAGTCCTTTGTCTGAAAATATGCATATTTTTAAAAATCATATTCATCTGCTGAAGTTCTAAAAATAATTGTTCGTGTTTTGGTTTTGGAAGAAAAATATTTCTTACTTTCATGGCCTGTTATTTTGTTTGCAATGGTTCTGTCCTGGTTTTGTATTGAATCTTGGTTTTAACATCCTTTTTTCCACATACAGAGAATGGCCTCATGTTCACTTTTGGAGATGGACGACATGGCAAGCTGGGCTTTGGAGAAGAGAGTTTTACAAACCTGTTTGATCCCACTCTGTGTTATAATTTCTTGAAGTTCACAGTGCTTTTGGTAAAACTTTTGTTCTTGCTTCTCAGACACCTTTTTATGAAACACATTATTAATGAGAATTGAAATCTTATTATAGAATTATTTATTTCTTTAATATTTAATTGACAACATAAATTGAAAGAAAAAGGAAATTATATATGCTTACCTGTTTAGAATTTCTTTGGTTTGAACTACACATATAGACTCTTTTTTAGGGTTTTATTCAGTAGTCTTGTGCTATAGTGATTTGGTCTATAGAGCTGTGGTAGCCTATAAAATGAAATATTTATTACTCTTAGATTGTTGGAATAGGGGGAAATTGATATCTTTTCTGAAAACACCAGAGTGTTACCTTTTCAATTGTGGCAATTTTTGTACAGTGCGATGTTTTTAAATATTTGAGAATATTTGAGGTTTTGCTTTTTAGAATCCAAATGGGATGAGAAAGCAGGAATACTCTTTCATTTTAAGGGAATTGTTTTTGTCTATTTTTTGAGGTGCAGAAGAAGTAAATGTCACAGAATTGTCAGCTTAAACAATGCTAACATAACTCAGGATTGAGCAAAATTTGACACTAAAGTCTGTTTATCTTCTGTTTCTTTACTGGAAATAGAGTTTAAGGAAGTCTAATCAGAAGTGAAGTTTTTAAACTTTTTAAAAAGTGAAACCTCTGATCTTTATGTAATAATGCTGCGTATATTGGAGAGATTATGATTTGCTTTACATTTTGTGGATTTTGTGATAAAACAACTAGATTTATGTAACTGAAACTATCAGTATTGACCACATTTGACGTGTATCAAAATAATTAGCTCAAATCTCTCGAAAATCAGTGGAAGTGTCTGTCTGTTGTTCTGTTCAATACAAGTGTATTTAGCTAAGAAGAAGTGAAGATAGATCACTAATCATTAATAAACATAATTAAGTACTTTTATTTTGCTGATGTAATTAGGAGCAAAATTTGAAGCAATTTGGTAGTCTTACCTTTATTACATTTTTTTTATAATTCAAACCCCTTGAGATGATTATCAGAAAATGCCATCCTTCTATTGATACTTGAAATAATCAGACACTTGTTTGAGCTGTAGGTTGCTTGTGGTGGTTGTCACATGCTGGTTTTTGCTGCTCCAAGACCTAAAGGATCTGAAGAAATACCCTTAGAAGATTTATATGAGAATCCTTTGACTGCTACTATCCCTAAAATGAGCGGGGACTTTGTACTGGCAGACACCTTACAACTGTCAGCAGCACGAATGCGACGTCGGGAGAGGGTAAATCCAGAGCTCTTTAGAGCTGCCATACTTCTTTTAGGAAACCAAATCACTTTTAAAGCTAAAAATCACAGCATATACCCAGCAGATAAGTGTTTAAGTTTAATGTATAAAAAGAAAAAAAATTAATATTTACTCTGATCCCAAAAGCTGATGCAGGAAGAAAAGAGGTATTGGTCAGATTTTCCTTGTTTATTTCTGGGAAAAAAGTTCAAATTGGGTTTGCAAAATAGAGAACCTCTTCTGTTGAATTTTAAAAATATCTTATATTTTTAAATGGTGCCGAGAACCTGACTATTTTGTTGTTCCCTCTGAGTCCTTGAATATATTAAACAAGTTCATAATTTATAAAATAAATAAGGAGAACATTTCACAATCAGCTTAAAATATCCCTAAATCCTGTAGCTACCTAAAATAGTACTTTTTTCACCTTTATCTCCACTAGACATTCCATGTGATTTCTTTAAGTAGCATGATGAGTTGGATTATTTTACTTACCTCTCTGAAAACTAACTCTACCAAAACCTGCATTTATTTCATAAAAATGTTTTGATGTTGTGGGTTAAATATCTCAGTGTTATTTGAGAGAGTAGTTTTTCATTTTAAATAGAAATCTTAAATAGAAGTTCTTTTTGACCTTTGTCTATATTTTAAGACTGCTTGAAATTATGGTGTACAAACAATCTAAAAAATTCCTTCTATGTCCACTTTTTAGGACTATAAATAATTAAAATATTGAAGATATTTTTTTCTGCTTTGTATAAAAGTTCAGCATAGTATCATAGACTAAAAGAAAATACTACTATTAAATATGAGAAATTGCTTACATTTTGTTCTTCTACCCTTATTCTCAGTATATTTTTTTGATCTTCTAAAGGAAAGGTCACCAGAACAGTTTATTCGAATGGCACGAACTCTGCCTCCACTGGGAGAAAGCTTCTTAAAATCTTCATTGCCTGTGACAAGCAACACTACCCCATTCAGTTTTTCTGCAACAAGTCTTCCTAAAGCTGAATCTGTGGCAGATGGAGACAGTGAAAAAGGTGAAGTGTCCCCACATCTTGCTGCTGTTTTCTGATAAGTATGGTTTAGCTCTCATCATTCATAAATGATGCTCAGTTTGAATATGAAAGGGAGTTTAAGTTGTCTTACCTCAAGAGTGTCTGGCAGCATACAGAAAGCTGAGAAATGCAGACAAGAAATCACCTCACAGTGTTCATGTTTGGAAACCATGCTTAAAGATTCAGGGGAGGCTTGAGTGAAAGAAAAAACAACTTCTGAATTGCACCTGTGGTTAGGAACAATAGTAGAGACAGTAAGGTCTATAAGAGAACTTGGATAAGAGAAGAGGTCTACTAATTCTTACAGGACCTTTCTTCTTTACTTGGAAATGCAAAATTCTCTATTAGCTAAGATAATAAGGATTTATAATATTCTAGCTAATGCAAAAGCCTGGATAACCATAATACTGATACAGCACTGGACTTTGGCACAGATTCTCTAGAGCAGATCTGCACTTATCTGTGTTCCTGGGCATGTGTGATTTCCTTGGAGAAGCAGTGCTGAAGAGTGCAGAATGCAGTGCTTTCTGTAAAGGTTAGCCCAGATTTATTGGACAGTCAAATCTCATTTGAAAGTAATTAATTCAGTTAAAATTAAGATGATTATTTGTAAAGCAGCCAGCATGTCCATTAGCATTTCTCATTCTAGGAAAGCAATGCTGTGAAATTTGAATTGCCTTTAGAGTCTTCCTAGGCCTGCAACCTCAGGTTTTGTGCTGTATGGAATAGTCTTATACCTGATGGACTTGAGGTGGACCTGAAGATGACATAGGAACATTTTTATGATGCTGCGTTGGAGTTAAACTCACTGTCTCTCCATCCATTGCATGGGTAATGTGCAATGTGCATAACATGACTGCAGCTAATTTGGTCTAATTGTTACACAGTTATTAAAAAGATTATCCAAAAGAATCTATCTCCCATGTAATATTTATGCTTTGAAAGCCTGCAGAAATGGTCAGAGATCTACAGTGCACTGATTGCTGGTCTCAGTATTAACCTCTAATGTTAATACTGATGAAAAGGGATGGAAGTGTTTCTTCTGTGTCTTAGGATGGGGGAATGAGGAATCTCAGTACTTCAGTTCTATGTCAGAAAATTAGAAATACTCTCTATTTTATAAGAGTGGGGTGTTTTGTTTGCTATATATTGCTTCTTCCTATGGAATTTGTTTATTTATTTATTTCCCCCTATTGTAGAAAATGATCATCAAAAGGGTAAACCTGGTGAAACCTCTGCAGAAGAAGATTCAGATGATGACAGTACTGACAGAAACCTTGGAGATACAACTGACATCCTAAATATGGTAATATATTCCAATAATGAATCTATAATTCAATCATTTTTTATGCAGAGGAAGACAAAGAAGCTAAATCATGTTTCAGGTCCTAGTATAGAACTTCTGACTAGCCCAGAATGTCCTGTGACACGAAGTACTGAAAGTAAAATGGGCATGCATTTCATATCATCATTATCCAGTGCTGAAATATGTTATAATTTCCCAAGTAATGTTGTAGGATGAGATTAAAGCAGTCCAAGTGATGCAGCCCCCTCCCCACACTTTAGCTCTGGCAATCAGAAAGAAAAGGAAAAGCATGCTGGATACCACATGGTATCTGAACTTGATTTTCTTAATGATTTCCAAGAGAGAATTTCAGGAAATGAAGCAGAAGAGCTATCTTTTCCTGTTTCCAGAAGAGGTTTAGTACAGGTGGAGCATGTTAAAGAGAAGACCGAAATGCAGACATTTTGATTATTTGGTGATCCTCAAGCTTGATCCTACATACTTCTTTTATTTAAAATCATGTTCACCTTATCACTTCTACACTTTTTCAAAACAATTTTGTTTGCTCAGCAGAAAGGACATGTCCAGGCCTTAATGCAGTGCACTAGAAAGAGAGTTGGGTTTTGTCTTTTTTTTAGCCTTTGATGGAATGGAAACTCTCTGTGGATTCAGCTCTGAATATGTTGTCAGTTATGCTGGAGGGATTGCACATTTTACAGGAATTATTATTTGCTTGTACTTAAAAGTACTTAATAATTTAACAGTCTGTTTGTACATACCATTTATTTCACAGTTATAAAACTCGATTTACAAGAAAAAAAATGTTTTCAGATACAATGCACAGCATGGCCTTATTTACCTATTGCACACTTTATGAGCTAGACTTCCTTCTCCTTTTAGGTTTTGTACTTATCGTGAATCAATTTTAAAACATTTGTCAGAACGAAACAGTAAATTTAAAAAAAGCCCATCAGGCAAACTTGTCAAAATACAAAATAAAATGATTGCTCTTCTTGAATCTAAATGCAAATAACCTGATACAGCATAGTTGCCTCAATCTTTCTAGGCTGTGGCAACATATCTTATTGACGAGTGTGACAGGTGGAGGAAAACCTTTAATGTCATATTGATGATATGAATTTTTGGAAGTCTGAAACCAGAACTGTGTTGAAAAATAATATGGTGATTAAGCCATAAGCAGTTAACAAACAGCAGCAAAGAACATTATCTGGTCATTTGGAATATATGGGAAAGGATGACCAAAATCTCACTACACATGCCAACCTAGTAATATTCTACATTGCCTTGCCTTTTGGGTTTTTGCTTTATGTAGAAGAGAGATTCCAAGGAAAATTTCTGCTGTGTAATGTTTCTTTGAACATATTCTTTCAAGGCTGTGGTATCAAACTAGGTGTTGAGTTGGAGGTTGTGATGATCAGGTGTCATATTTGTAGCCTCAACTTTGTGGTGGATGGAAGGTGGATCTCAAATGTGCTTGTGGACTGTAAGAAAGGGCTTTCAGTCTACAGACCATCTAGGTCTGTAACCATCTAGGTCTGTAACCATCTAGGTTACTACTCTCTTTATAAGCAGTAAATGAGGAAGTGGAAGTGAAATAGGAGAGTTTAATGATCATACAGATTTGTCTCAACCTAAGTGCAATAATATTAAAATGTTCATGAAATAGCTCTGTTTAGTAGAACTGGGATTTGATGCTGCTTTCCCTGTTAGTTAATTTTTTTAATAAAGATCTTATTTTTTGCAGACACATGCAATGAAATTGAATCCCAGTGACTGGTCCATAGAATTATCACCACTCCAGAAACAGAAGGTACTGTAACTAATTATATACATGTATACTTGTACTGATGTTCAAAAAAATCTGAAATTCTTGTGTTATCCTAGTACTTCATTGTTTTTGCAAGGCAAAAAAAAATTAGGCAAATTTTATAGGCCTCCTCTTGCAAATTTTCTGAATATCCAATTCTAAGATGAAATTCTAAGAAGTCAGAATTTGTGCAGGCACATAGAACTCCTCATATCCAGTGGGGTTTGAGATGAGAGTATATAATGTTTCACCAGTTTAAGGAGCAAGAGACTATCATATACACATTTCACATACATACATTTCTGCTGGTTTGTTGGTACTAAAAGATTTCAATTGACTTTTGGGACATAGTGTAAGTAAAAACTTTACTGACAGGTATTCACCATAGATTATATTTAAAGGAGCAAAATTACTGGTTTTAATCATGAAGCTAGAATACTTTGTATTACCTTCTTATTTCACTGCTAAAGTGATCCTAGCTTTTTGGCATTTTGTTATATTTCTTTATCATTTTATTGTAGATTTTAAAAATTATTCTGAAAAATTTGTTAAATAAGTGTAAAATTTAAAGCAGAAAGGCAACAGATTTTCAAACTTCTTAGAAAGAGCATAGCAGTGAGTGCATCAGAAGATTTTTCCAGGGGGGAGGTGGAGGAAGGTGTAAGAGAACTGTGCTTATTTCCTTCTGTTTGCAACAACCTCATGCATTGCATCTGCTCTGGCCCATGGGATGTGGTACTGGATGCACAGTCCTTCCTGCATTCCCTTGCAGTGCTGGGTTAGTGAGAAAGGTGTAGTAGCACATTAATCATTAACAGAATGTTATGTTCTTCTCATATATGCACTGGTGAATTCATTTCATGTGAAATATTCTACTTTTTATGCTATCTTTTAATCCCTTCTCACAAATTGTTTCTTTTCTTGTTCAGATGCTTTTCTAACCTTTTTCTTTTGCTGTCATTTGTCTTTAATGCTTTTTTTTTCTTTCTTTTTAATTTTCTGCTTCTCGTGTGGAATAGAAGAACAATAAAAATGTGAAACTGAAAAGAGATGGTAAGGGTGGGCTGAAAAACAAGGATTCTGATTTCACAAAGGAGGTCTCAGAATTAGACTCTGGCTCTTTACAAAAACAGTCCTCACTTTCAGAGTCACCAGGACAAGATTTAGAAAAGAGTAGTGCCTTTGTAGGGAAGTCTGTGGCCAAAAAAAACCCAACAAAAGCTAAACCTGAGCATACACAAAGTGTTAGTACTTTGAAGAGGGGTGTTCAACAAATGGCTAGGGACAAAAGCAGATTAGTGAAAAGGCAAGAAGAATATGTGGAAAATCCTGAATTTTTCAGAGAGGATGTAACTTATAATCTTCCAACTGAAAATCAAATTCTGTCTGAAAAACCAAATTCTTCCAATAAAAAATCAAAAGCCGTTAAATCTAAGCAATCACTTAAAATAGAGGTACTTCCTTCTGCATCCAGGGATCATCCCCAGACTGATGATTCCTTAGTTGTAGAAAAATACAATCTCGTTCAAAAGCAAGAAAGTCAAGAAGCAATAAAAAGTCAAAACAAAATAAAGGATGTTACTGAAAAATCTGAGAAGTGTGAAAGAACGCACGTCAAAGGAGAAGAAAGTAGTGCAGAGAAGACAGAGAAGATAGGGTTTAAAATATCTGTAACTATGTCATCATCTTCAACTGAGGAAAGTAGTTACGATCTTGAAAAGTATGTGCTTAAGCGTAGGAAAAAAGAAGAGGACTACAATGAAGGCAGAGACATCCAGAGGGCAAGGAGAACAGTAGAAAACGTGGAAGATTTGGACTTAGAAAAAGAAGACAGTGAGATTGAGGAGATGCAAATTAGAAACAATGAGAAAGAATGTGTAGAAGAGACTGATTTAAAAAGCCAGAATGAGGAAGAAACAAACTCTGATGCTAAATCTGATGAAGATGGGCAATTAGAAATTAAGAATGGGGAGGATTCTGATCAAGAGCAGGAGGGTGAAGGCAGTGAAAAGGGTGAAAGTGAAAAAGAAAAATTAGATGAAACAATTGACAGTGAAGGTAAACTAGGGGAGGAAGAAGACAGTGAGTATGAGAAAGGTAGAGATGAAGTTTCAGTAGAAAAAGATAAAGATGAGGAGGAAAAAGATAAAGATGAGGAGGAAAAAGATAATGAGGAAGAACATGAAGGAGAGGAGTCACAGGCTGAGAAAGACAGTGAGAATGAGGGTGCAGAGGAGATTGAAGAGGTTAATCAGGAAGATGGAAAAGATCAGGGAGATGAGCAAGGCAGGTTGATGAAGGAAGAAGAAATGCTGAGTGAGGGAGAAAAGGAGGATATGGAGAAGTATGCAAAAGAGGAAGGCACTGAAAAAGAAAAGGAGGAACAGGTTAAAAGTGAGGGAAGAAATGAGAGTGAGGAAGGAGGTGAACATAGAGAGGGGGAGGAAGAAAAAGAGACAGAGGCAGAAGAGGAAGGAGAAGATGAGAAGGAAGATGAAGAAGAAAATGAAGAAAGGGAGAAAGAAAAAGACAAAGAAGGTGAAGAGAAGGAATTAAGAGAACCATTGGCAGGGAAGGAAGACGATGTATCTGAAGAAGAACAGGAAGAAGAAGAAGATATGAGGACTAAGAAGGTGGAGGAGGATGGAGTGGAAGAAGGAGAAGAGGGAGAGGGGGATGATGAAGTGGAACAGGAAAGAAAAGATGAGGAGAAAGAAGGAACAGAGGCAGAAGCAGAAGGGGAGGAGGATGAAGTGGAAGAAGGTGAAGAAGGGGAGGATGAAGTTGAAGAGGAAAGAAAAAATGAGAAAAAAGAAGGAACAGGGCTAGAAGCAGAAGGGGAGGAGGGTGGAGAAGATGAAAAGGAAGAAGAGGGGGGAAATGAAGAAGAGGAAGAAGGGATAGAAGAAGATGAGGGAGTGGGGGAGGAAAAAGAAGAGGGAGTTGGAGAAGATGAGGGAGAAGAGGCAGTGGAAGAAGAAGAGGGAGATGAGGAAGAAGAGGGAGAAGAGGCAGTGGAAGAAGAAGAGGGAGATGAGGAAGAAGAGGGAGAAGAGGCAGTGGAAGAAGAAGAGGGAGAAGAGGCAGTG